GGTTCTCTTGCACTCTTTACACTCGTAGGGTCTCTCTCCTGTATGAATTCTCTGATGTTGGGCAAGGGATCCACAGTAACTGAAAGCCTTCTCACAAACATTACATTTGTACGGTTTTTCTCCGGTATGAACTCTCCAGTGTTGGGTAAGGGAGGAGTCATTGCTAAAAGCCTTCCCACACTTAATACATTCATAAGGTTTCTCCCCAGTGTGAACTCTTTGATGCTGAGCCAGGTAGGCAATCTGGCTGAAGGCCTTCTTACATTCCTGGCATTTATAAGGTTTTTCTCCTGTGTGAATTCTCTGGTGTTGAGCAAGGTGTGAATTTTGGCTGAAGGCCTTCCCGCACTCCTTGCACGCATAGGGCCTCTCACCCGTATGTATTCTCTGATGCACAGTCAGGTACGCACGAAGGCTAAATGCTTTTCCACAGACCCGGCACTCGTAAGGTTTCTCTCCTGTGTGAACTCTCTGGTGTTGAGCAATGGATGACCTATTGCTAAAGGCTTTTCCGCATTCTACGCATTCGTAGGGCTTCTCGCCGGTATGAATTCTCTGATGCTGAGCAAGGTAGGCAAACTGGCTGAAGGCTTTCCTGCACACCTCACACTCATAAGGTTTTTCTCCAGTGTGGATGCGCAGGTGCTGAGCTAGGTGTGCATTCTGACTGAAAGCCTTCCGACACTCTTTACACTCATAAGGTTTCTCTCCCGTGTGAACCCTGTGATGCTGAACAAGGTTTGACCTCTGGCTGAAGGCTTTCCCACATTCTATGCACTCGTAGGGTTTTTCTCCGGTATGAATTCTTTGGTGAAGGGTAAGGGAGGAGCTCTGTCTAAAGACCTTCTCACAATCGTTGCATTTCAAAAGTTTCTTCTCTCTGTAGATCCTCTTGGGCTTGGCAGTCCTCAAGCTCCTCCTCAAGCTGTTCTTGCGTGTGCCTTGTTTATACGCATTCTCCTCTTTGGGGGCTGTCTGTTGTGTATGAAGCAATGTGTTCGGATAGAAACTTCCCCAGGATCTGTTATCAGTCAGAGTTTCAAAGGCAATGGTTTCTTCCTTGAAATATGCTTTTAGATTCTCAGATTGCCTCTCAAAATGATGTTCATAGCTCCATTCTTCCACCAAACTGGGACACTCAAAGCCAATACTTCTAAGTTCTTCTAGTATATTTCTGGATGACTCTTCATCATAAGGTTCCTGCTTTGGGATGAGTTTTTCTGTCACACACATAGACTCCCAGTCTAAAAGCAATAAGAAAAAGTGTCTTGCTATGTATCAAGAAAATATGATCATGAAAGTACATTTGTAAAGTGAAGTATCAAATAAAATCCAAAAGACCACTAACTTCCACAGTTCTGAAGTGTACAACACACTGAAAATTGTGATATGTGAGGAGTGATTAGACCCTTACAAAAACCAGTAAGATGAGTCACAGGGTGAGAAGGAACTGTTTGTGACTGGACTTGATTGTAAGTATAGACACTGGCATAGTCTGTATTCTCAGAATTGCTTCACTGAAGGACATTCATTGACAAATAATTATCTGATATCAACAGCTCCTGAGCTCTCACTGAAAGCTCAAGGTACTTCAAAAGCATTATTTTAGAAATAACAAAAGAGGCTCTCCTCCTTCACTTCGCTCTCCTCACTCTCTCCCTTTGTCCACTCCTCTCTCTCTCTCTCTCTCTCTCTCTCTCTCTCTCTCTCCCTTCACCCCCTCTGCTCTCCCTTCTCTGCCCCTCTTCTCTACTTCTTTCTCTCTCTCTCTCTCCCCCTTTAATAAACCCCACATGATTAGTGGAAAGAAAGAAAGAAAGAAAGAAAGAAAGAAAGAAAGAAAGAAAACAAAGAGAGATTAAACAACTTTCCTAGAATTTCACTCCATGTAAGAATCAGTATTTGAACCTGGTGCTTCATTTATCCTCAGCATGGCCCCAGAGTTCATCAAATCAGAAAAACACTATTCCAAATACTAGCTAGGAATTATGAAAGTGAGAAGCAGCAGGCGTGAGGGAAAAGATGAAATGAGTCACTGGGAAGCAGAGGGCAAAGCATGAGGAAAGAGGAAGGTTGGCCAGTGGGGGAGAATACACTGGTTTCTTTTAGGCCCCAAACATTTGGGAACACACCACAGAAAAGAACCAAGAGACCCTTTTTTGTTTGTTTGTTTTTCGAGACAGGGTTTCTCTGTGGCTTTGGAGGCTGTCCTGGCACTGGCTCTTGTAGACCCGGCTGGGCTCGAACGCCCAGAGATCCGCCTGCCTCTGCCTCCCGAGTGCTGGGACTAAAGGCGTGCGCCACCAACGCCCGGATGAAGAGACACTTTTTTGAGTCAGGTTGAGCTGTCTGTCACCTTCAAAAGTCTCTGCTTATATTTCCTCCCTACTCACCTGTGGACAAACTGTCTGTCAGCTCTGTCTTCACCGTCCATGGCTCTTTTCCTTGTTCCAACAAGAATATCACACTTGGTTTAGAAAAGCAAAGGCCTGAAATGCGAAAAGAGATGACTTGGTTATGCTGAGGGCAGCACAACTCATATTTGGGACCATTCAGACTGCAGGGCAGCTCCCGGGCCTAGGAAGAGTTGGCTAACACAAAATAAATGTAATAGCAGTTTTGTTTCCTTTTGTTTGTTCTAGCTCCCACCCCCTTTTTTTATTTTATTGGTATTTTGCCTATTTGTTTTGATGTTCACTTTTGTGACTTTCTTTTTTTTTTCCTTTTATCACTTTTTTTTTTTTTTTTTTTTTTTTTCGAGACAGGGTTTCTCTGTATTGTTTTGGAGCCTGTCCTGGAACTTGCTCTGGAGACCAGGCTGGCCTCAAACTCACAGAGATCCACCTGCGTCTGCCTCCCGAGTGCTGGGATTAAAGGTGTGGTTTCTTTCTTTTGAAATAGAGAAAGTATAAATTGAATGGGTATGGCAGAGGAAAGGATCTGGGAGGAGTTGGGGAAGGGAAAATGTGATCAAAATATATTGTGTGAAACAATGTTAATAATAAAAGAATACCTGGGGCTGAGGAAATGGCTCAGTCAAGTACCCATGTAAAAAGCGTGTTGGCACACATCTGTAATCATACCTATGAGAGACAAGCAGATGCCTGGAGCTCACTGGACAGCCAGCATCCAGGTTCAGTGACAGATTCCATCTCAAAAAAGGTAGGGCTGGTGAGACGGTCTACAAGTAAGGGCATTGCTGAAGAAGCACAATGACCTGAATTTGATCACGAAGATACTTGTGGTGGAGAGAACTGACTCCCACAAGTTATCTTCTGACCTCCATAAGCCTGTGCCAACACACAGTATACAAACATCTAAAAAATTCTCCTATTGGGCTGGAGAGATGGCTCAGAGGTTAAGAGCACTGACTGCTCTTCCAGAGGTCCTGAGTTCAATTCCCAGCAATCACATGGTGGCTCACAACCATCCGTTATGAGATCTGGTGCCCTCTTCTGGTGTGCAGATATACATGGAAGCAGAATGTTGTATACATAATAAATAAAATCTTTAAAAAATTTTTTTTAAAAATTCTCCTATTAAAAAAAAACCTAGAAATACAGAGAATATGAAACTTCTAACACAGGTCAATGACAGGACTATCTACTGCTAACTCCATGTGTTTTGCATTATGGCAGATACTCACCCAAGCTTTGCTTGCAGATGTTACTAAAATATTCACAATGACACCTATCAAAGTCCTTTATGAATAGAAGTCCCGTTTTTCAAGGGAAAGATATCCTTACTGTCTTAATTGGGGTTACTATTGCTGTGATGAAACACCATGACCAAAAGAATTTGGGAAGTATGGTGGTTTGAAAGAGAATGGCCCCCATGGGCTCATATTTGAATGCTTGGTCACCTGGGAGTGGCACTACTTGAGACGCATTAGGAGGTGATGGAGGCAGACTTTTCTTTCCTGCCGGCTGGTTCCCCAATAACCACACTGAGACTTATTAGTAACTATCTCCAGCCAGCTCTTACAACTTAAATCAACCCATTTCTATTCATCTGTGTGTGCTGCCGGAGGCTTGTTTAGTTCATCTATGTACTTTCCATGTTGTTTCTTCCAGGTCTGGTTTGAGATTCCTCAGACTCCACTGTCCTTCTTCCCAACATTCTCTCTGCCCCCCAAAAATCCTGCCTAGCTATTGACCAATCAGCTTTTTATTAACAATGAAAGCAACACACCTTCACAGTATACAGAAGGATTATTACACAGCAAAGTGAGGCCTTGTTGAAGAAGGTGTGGCCTTGTTGAAGGAAACGTGTCACTTGAGTGGGATTTGGGGTTTCAAAAGCTCAATTCAGGCCAAGTGTCTCTCTTCCTTCCTGTTGCTTGTGGATCTAGACATTGAATCCTCAGCTACTTCTCCAGGACCATGTCTGCCTGCATGCCACCATGCCTCCTGCCATGATGTCAATGGACCAAACCTCTGAAACTGCCTGCAATCCCCAATTAAATGTTTTCCTTGTAAGAGATGACATGGACACAGTGTCTCTTCACAGCAATACAACACTGACTAAAATGGAGAAAAAAAAGGTTTATTCTGCTTATACTTCCACATCATAGACCATTATCAAAGGAAGTCAGGACAGGAACTCAAGCAGGGCGGGGACCTGGAGGCAGGAGCTGATGCAGGGGCCATGGAGGGGAGCTGCTTACTAGCTGTTCCTCATCGCTTGCTTGCTCAGCCTCCTTTCTTACAGAACCCAGGACCACCAGCCCAGGGGTGGCACTCCCCACCATGGGATGGACCCTCCCCCACTTATCACTAATTAAGAATATGACTCACAGCCTGATCTTCTGGAGGCTTCTTAATTGAGTTCACTCCCCTCAAATGACTTCAGATTGTGTCAAGTGGACAGTGAAACTGTCTGGCACACTTACCCAGAGACACCAAGAGCTTGTAGTTCTCCTGCATCACATGGCTGTACAGATGCCTTTGAGAAGGGCTCAGACACGCCCATTCTTCTCGGGAGAAGTCTACTGCCACATCCCTGAAGGTCACCATCTCCTGACGTGAAAGAAAGGAAAGGAAGTGACCCCCTCCTTCACGTGTCCACCTCATTTTCTCAGCCTTGGGACAGTGGGCGCTCCCTGATAGGACACCCCCAAATACGTCACCCATGTTCCCTCTTAGAGCCTCCGTCTGCCTCAGATCATTCTGGACAGTGGGGCTATGCAATGCAGTGGGAATCTAGCGGAGCCACTGAATCTGTGGTAAACGTTAGAATGAAATAGTCGTTTCTCACTGTGCCTGGTAACAGTAGAATGTAACCGTTAGAGGTGCTTGGACCTGGAGACATCATAGTAGACAACCATGGTTGTTTTCCATGATTTATAAGAGCTTTTTTTTTGTTCTTGTTCTGAGGGAGTTTTCCATCGGTGCTCACACTTGGAGCATCTTGAATTACTGGGTACTGCAAGCATACACAGTGAGGACAAACAGTACACAATAAGGGCGATGATGATTTCTTTCAGAGAACATACAGAATAGAACAAGGAGACTATGGTAAGAGGAACTCGGTTTATACAAAAAAAAGACGACCTTGGTGTAACAACCAATGACATGCTTCTGAATGACGATTGGAGGTTCACTCCATCAGAGGCTGGACCTGCCTGCTGCCAGAGAGCCTAAATTACATTCCCGAGTGACTCTCCTTCTTTGATCATCCTGTGCGCCACAGAACAATGACACCGCTATCCCAATTCCCTGCTCCCCCTGGCTCTGCTTGCTGTATTTACTTGTCAGTTATGTTGTAGTGCTTTGCATGCATACACGTGTATGCAGTAACCTCAGAGGCCAGAAGAGGGCGTGGATATCTGTAACTAGAGCTGCAGACCGCTGTAGTGGCAATGTGGGTGCTGGGACTGAACACCAGGTCCTCTGCAAGAGCTGCCAGCCCTCCTAACCGCCGAGTCATCTCTGCAGCCCCAGGTCAGAGTTGGGGTGCTGAGGTTTGGCTTTGCACGTGCCAAGGAAGGCTCTTCAGTGATCTGCATCCTCAGCTCTGTATGCTATTTTATTTTTGAGACAGGGTTTCATGTATTCCAGGCTGGTCTCGAATTCTGTGGAGCCGAAGATGTCCTTGAACTCCTGATCCTCCTGCCCCCACCTGCCAAGTGTGAACATTACAAGTGTGCACTGTCGGTCACACCTGGCTTTTGAGGTCCTGGGTTTAAGCTCGGAGCTGAGATTGCACTAAAAACCTGGAGCTAAGCTATGACTCATTTGCACTCCAGGTTCCACTTGCTGCTGAACCTAAGAGATGTTACATGTATGTGTTTTGAAATAAAATTTAATACCTTACAAAAAACAAAAGATGTGACCTGTTGTCAGAGCAATATAAAAGGATGTGACTTGTTTTAAATTTTATATGGTGTGTGTATGTATGTGGTGTGTGTATGTGTGTGGTGTGTCTGTGTGGTGTGTGTATGTGGTGTGTATGTGTGTGTGTATGTGTGTGGTGTGTGTATGTGTGTGTGGTGTGTATGTGTGAGTGTGTGTGGTGTGTGTGGTGTGTGTGGTATGTGTATTGTGTGGTGTGTGTGGTATGTGTATATGTGTGTGGTGTGTATGGGTGGGTGGTGTGTGTGTGTGTGTGTGTGGTGTGTATGTGGTGTGTGTGTGTGTATGTGTATGTGTGTGTATGCATGTGGTGTGTGTATGTGTGTGGTGTGTATGTGTGGTGTGTGCATGTGGTGTGTGTATGTGTGTGGTGTGTATGTGTGGTGTGTGTATGTGTGAGTGTGTGTGTGGTGTGTGTAGTGTGTGTATATGTGTGTGGTGTGTATTTATGTGTGTATGTATGGGTGTGTGTGTATATGTGTATGGTGTGTATGGGTGTGTGTGTGTGTGTGTGTGTGTGTGTGTGTGTGTGTGTGTGTGTTTACCCTGAATCA